TTTTTTATTAATAACGAAATTCAAAGTTTGAATTGAATGGCTATATGCCATTTTTGTTTCATCATTTTAGATTTTTCACATTGTTAAAATCTATAAATTTAATATAGGAATATTGATGCCCTAAAAAAAAAAAAAATTAAATGAAAGGAAACTCAAATTAAAACAAAAGAAAGTCCATTTAATATTCAAAGTCTAAATTATATATTACCGAACTGCAATATCTGATATATTTCTTCACACTGTCCCTAACAACATCTTCAAAAAAGTTTCTCCGTACAGGGTATATAAAAGCGATCCGTGGATGTAGAGTCGCTGCACCTGAAGCACCCTCGCCAGATGCAGCAGTCGCTGCTGGGAATTGTGCATAGGTTTGGCATCGAAAAACCATCTAATTGATTTATGGCCAATGGATTGTTGGGCTGACTAAATTTAGAAGCGAGCGAACAACTAAAACAACTAATTTAGTGAGAGATGTGCGCTGTAAAGTTTTGTGTTCTTCAATTTTGTCACGTTCATGGGCATGATATTCTAGTAGTTTCACATCATCCGACTTGCTCTCTCACTTTCTCTCTCTCTCTCCCTCTCTCCTCGCGATATCCCCGTGCTGTACTGAACGTGTCCGTTTGTTTGTTTTCGTACTGTCGTATCAAGGGGCAGACAGCCGAGAATCTGTCGCCTGGCGGGGCCCTGTCACAACTGACACTGACGATGCGGCAGGTACATGAGACGTGCCGTTAAGTTGTCAGCTAGTGAAAATGGAGCAGTGGAAAAATGGAGAAGTGGCAGCGCCACATTTTGGACACAGCCTCGGCTCATCTAACGAAAGATTAATTGAACGTGCGCCAGCGAGTTATTAATCTTGGCGAGCTTAGCCGGGGCCTACATTGTTTCTAAAATATTGTATGCACTCGTCCCGGTGTCAGCTAATGGGACCGCCACTTGAGCCCCGTTCTGGAGCTGCGGCAGCTGCCCCGCCACTGCTGCTGCTCCTGCTCGTATTTCTCTTCATTTATATGCATATATATTTTTTAAGGTCTCCCCCTAATTTGTTTATGGCTCCGATAATGCAATTTTTTAGTCATTCCACGTCGAGGGGCACTGCAATAACATAAATATATCGGCTGATCTGGCGGCAGCAATTACCGGGTGAGCCATATTTTGTCACATTTCGTTGTATATGCTGCGATTGCTTCCGCTGGGTGAAAGTTGAGGCGTTCTTATGGATGCGCACATAACTCCTCGGAAGCTGCACTGAACATTATGCTGCCTCTAGTTCAGAGGCGACCATAGGCTTTCACTTTACAAAGAAAATTTGCAGTATTTATCACAGTTGCTTATAATTAATATCATAATGATATGCTCAATTTAATGAGTCTTTTATTAGAACTGCAAAGGAAAAGAAAAAGAATCCGTGTATATCTAATTATTTCTTAAATCTATCTAGGCTATTTTTCGCTCAGTGCATAAAAAAATATAGCGTTCGATAGCTATCGAAATTTTTGTTATCAATAAATTGAGAACTTTTGCTAGTTTATGACTGGCAGCAGCCAGCTCATGACCTGCTTGGGCTTTGGGAATTCTGGGAACGGAACCACCCCACCCCTAGTCACTATACATACTTTTTATTACGCATTGTGAGAGCACATGCCAAAACTTGCCACAAAAATTGCGCAGCTGCTGCTGTTCTATTTCACAAGGTTGAGCCATTGAGAATATGACGCACACATTGATAGAACAAACAAACAGCCTTCGCCCTCCTTGCCTCCCTTGTGTCCAAAAAGTAACGAGTCAGACCTGAAGTTGAGCCGAAGCGCAAATGCAACACCTTGAAAGTGCTCGAGGAAGTAGCAGATAGTTAGATAGCAAGGCACCATCGGCAGAAGAACTGCGAGCCGCAACTGGTATGTCACGGGGGGGAAGTTTTCGATTTCTATGGAACACCTGGACGGCGTTGTGGAAGCGTCTAAGGTGCACAGCTAATGAGCTCAGAGCTAAAGGCGCAACTTTATGTTTTGACGCAGCAATGTCTGCGCAGCCAATGCCAGAGGGGCAGGGGGTAAATGCGTGTCTGCGTGTGTGTTTGTGTGTGTGTATCATGGTTAAAGAACATAAAATCATATCAGTGCGGTACGGTACGGACTCCTCTCTCGCCAAATCCACAATGAACACTTGCGTCATCCGCATTTCATAAAAATACAAAATACAAATCCATTTGGCTGAGCTCTCGCGCAGGGGTTGCTAGAGGAAGTGCACACCTTGCCCCATTTACATAAGCATTAGCCGGGGCACATCGCAGCACCTCGATACCAATTTCTAGTTTCCCATCGCAGCAGAGCATGTGACAATTATGGTAAACGCATGCAAATGACAATCGGAACATCATCATAGTCGTCTTACCGAGCAAATGCAATGCGATGATCCACTTCCTTGAACCCTTTTTGGCGTGTTATGATTCTGTTTAACCGGATGCCGACGGATGGCCGACGACACGCAAGTGTTATCCGAGGAATTTGAGAATTATGCAAATTACCTTTAGGCAGCCTGGGCAACGGAAGGAAACGAAAGCGAATCCCGATTAAGAAGATCTTTCCCACAGTTGTCGGCGCTAATGGATCCATTATTGATCACACACTTTAGTATGGTTGATGGACCGAAGATTCCAGTTACTCGTATCGAATTGAATTCATCTTGGAAGTTAGTTTTGATCAATTTGTCATTATTGTCAGCAGCTTCATCGAAGAGTATTTGTATAATTTTGTTAGTTTTTCGGCCTCCAAAATTCAAGTAGATTTCACGCAACCTCCAATGCACAACCTGTAGTGAAATGACGCCGAGTTTTTCATCAAGCATGGGTGCGGATTTACTGGACGTGACAACTCCGCGCCATTCGCTGCTATCGGGGCGGTTTAAGCAGAGCTTCGCCTACATAGCCCTGCAGACGCGAATGCCGGGTATAATGTCGCAGATCATCATGACGCTCTTCTCGAATAAGGCGCGACTGCAACAGATCCATGGCAGTGAGGTCGATAAGGACTTTCACATTATAATTGAATCGATAGAGCGATTAAAGAGGGAACTGCTGCGTGATCGCAACTTTCAGCTGTTCCATGGCAATGAGCCGGACAAGGCCGAGTGGAATGCCTTTATCAGCGAGCTGCCACGCCCCAAGCGATCGTTCTTTCGGGCGAGCTGGCTGCACTCCGAGTGCTATCTGTATAGGCGCATCAGTTCGTTCTTCGAGAATAGCAAGTGCCTGAAAGACTTTGATTACTTTCAGGACCTCAAGCAGGAGGATCTCATAGTCAGTAATAAAGCAATAAGCTGCCTCACCCTGGCCACACGCGGGCTAATGAAGGACTTCAAGTCCTTTAGCCGCCTGATGCGCATCAACTTGTGGAGCAATCATTTTGAGATTCAGCTATCTTCATTCATTTTCGAATCGCCCCAGGATCACAGCAACATCGATGTCCTTGCCCAAGTGGCCGATCTGGATCGTCGGGTGTTGGTGGACGAGAGCCAGATGGTCTGGGACTGCTTGCTGAAGGCCAAGGGCGAGCACATCATTGTCGACTACATCTGCGACAACGGGGGATTCGAGCTATTTACGGACCTGCTGTTCATCGAGTACTTAGTGGACCAGGAGCTGGCGACTCAGGTGCGGATGCATGTCAAGGCCATACCCTGGTACATATCGGACGTAATGAAACACGACATTGAATGGACCATCAAATACTTGAAGGATAGCAAGGAGGAGCATGTCTCCTTGCTGGGCAAGAAACTGGAGTCTCTGATGGAGAGTGAGCGCATCGTCATAGCACCCATTTCGCATTTCTGGACGGGACCACAATCCTATTTCGTCATGGTCGACTCGAATTTCGAATTGTACAGGATGCTCTCGCAGGCCCAGCTGGCGATCTTCAAGGGAGATCTCAACTATCGCAAGCTGCTCGGCGACTACATCTGGGACTCCACGGAGGAGTTCATCACGTGCCTGCGCGGCTTTCGGCCAACCAATATGTGCGCCATGCGCAATGTCAAGTGCGAGGTGATCTGCGGCCTGCCCGAGGGTACTGCCGATCACTTGATGAGGACCGATCCCACCTGGATGATATCTGGCTACTATGGCGTTATCCAGTACACGGATAGCCTCAAATGCAAGTGCGAGGCTCAGCTTTCTTTGTGCTCGCTGCACAGCAAGATCATATGATGCAAATAGTCGATTTGCCTGTGCTCCGATTGCTCAGTAGCAGCTGGTGAGAGGGAATCCGATGTCTTAATTTGCATTACGCTGCCAGCGAAGAAAACTCACAGTGCTCCTAATAAATGAGCCCAAATTTGTCAGCGCACTTTGCCCAAATCAAACTGCATCGTTACGCCCACCGAGCGAGTCTGCACCGCCTTCAGCTCTGCGTGGCTGCCACCTGCATTTCTCCAGCCAGCGCCTGACCAGCGGCCCATAGGCCAATTGGCCAATTGGCGAGTGACTAATGCTGTTGGTTTTATTGATGTGGCGCACATGCGCCGCCATTTGTATGCGAGAGGCTGCCGGCGCTGCGACTCCTTCCGGATAAGCAATTGGCATTGGAAATGGAAAGTTGTGAAAATCAACATGTGGCGCCGTGGAGATGGTCGAGTAGTGGTCAAAGCGTGTTTATCGGATGTTGTTGAGATACATTCAAGTGGAATGGCTTTCATTTCTGCAAAGAACTATTTTTAAAGCGGCGATTTTTTTCTTAGATGCATTTATGCATCAAATTTTGTAATTCAGAGATTTGTACAGATAGAAAATTAAGTTATTGAATAAGGTATACGATAAATCTATGTATTAATATCATTATGTTTTGACTTAACTAAATTTTCCGCTTCATTGCGTATTTTCAAATGCATTGTGTCTTAAGGAAACTCAAATAGTTTCAATTTTATTGTATTTAAGCAAAAGTCTTGATTTATGTTTGGTTCCCATGCAATATTAATATCGCTTGGCTGGTCAGTTCATTCAAAAAGTGCAGCACTCCATTTCCCAGATATTCAGTTCAATAGAGCCGTAGCCGTAGGTGTTCTCTGTCTTTGTTCTCAGTGATTTCTCAGTAACACGAAACCATTACAAAGTAGTATCAAATCTTTATCGCAAATGACTTCAAATCAAAGTCTTTTAGTTGATTGCACTTTTGCCCAGGAAACCCTCTCAAATGAGCAGCGCACAATGGCCAAAGAAAATCATATAAATTGAAATTAAAATTGAAATTGGAATATTAAGTGAGCATTCCCACAACTATTAAGCTGCCAAAATTGCGAAATCCACATGGGGCCGCAGCGCAGTTGGATCGAGAAATTCCAATGCACACATCGACTCTCGGGTACAGTTCGCACATTCCCCTAATGTTGTGTGAAACGAAATGGCAGTGGAACACGCTTGGAAACGGGCCACGCAAATATTTTCCCACCGAAAAATCCACCCCGAAAGTTTCAGCTACTGCGCAGCTGCAAATCAAAACTGAAATCAAGCAATGAAAGCAAAAGCCTTTGCTTCCTTCCCTACAATCAAAGCAACTGGCTGCTGTCCACTTGGATTTGGTTGTGTGTTTGGCTTGGGGTGGGGTGGTGTGGGGTTGGTGTGTCGCTCGCTTCCCAGTGCGAATGCGCCCTTGAAAATCGCACCCGGCTACCTTACGGTTAACTGGTGTACCCGTCCCATTCACCGGTTCACCAGTTCGCAGCCGCCAGGTTGCTCTGGCTGCGGCTGTTGCTGGTGCTTTTGTCTGATGTCGGCAACGGGAGGGTTGCTGCCTCGGCCAGGTGATGATTATAGCTGCGATTTCCACCACCCATTCAACAGCTTTAGGCGCGCAGGTATGCGCTCTTAAACCAGCTGGCAAAACAGGATTCAATCACAATCGACTCTAGTTTAGCTTTGTTTTGCTTTCAAATTGCACGGGATGAAGCTATTACCATCGCTATCGCTGTTGCAGTTCCCCAAGCTCAATGTTTTATTTGGCTGCTCGCAAGGTGCGAGCATACTCACACAGCGGGCTATCAATAAAACTCGCTTGAGTCACATTGCACCCCAAAATGGTCGACCGGATGCCAACGCACTACAAGTGCCCGCAATGTTTGCTTTTAAATATTCAATAATTATTGGGGCAAACCAAATGCATCGACTGAGTGACTCATGCGAACATGCTGCCAGAGCTGGGCAAGGCATAGAAGTGACTTGAAGCCAATGCTTGGTGGATGGGTAAACGATTCAAGTGACTTTGGAGCACATAAATACCAAGAGTAGCAAATGGAATTGAATCAAGAGTTTAGAATAGATAGATAATGTGGGCATATTATTAATCTCTTTGGAATTCATGAAGAGAGTTAAGAGAGATTTTAATATTTACTCTCCACTACAATTTTATTAAATCTTTACATACTTTTATATCTCAGCAAAAATAAAAAATTATAAGAAAGTATATTCGTCTTAAACTCTATTCAAAATCTATATATATAAAAGAAAGTTGTGTAAAAGTGAAGACTGCTTATAACTTGATTTGGGCTGAACCAATTTTCATGGTTTYTGATTTKTTGGATTTGTCTCCGCAACGAGTTTAGTATAGGGTCTTAAAAATACTGAAAAAATTTGCCGAATACTTGAAAAACGCGGTTTTTTCCCCAAATGTTCAAATTTTTTTTATACCCAGTAGGCTTGGTAACAGTGACAGTTTTGACAATAGTGTAGAAGTAAATAAACAAATGTAGTCAGTCAGTCTACGGTCTCCTGACCTCGAGCAGACCTGACTATTCAAAAAAAAAAANCTATAACTATGGCTTTGAATTTAAAGATTCAAGGCCAGATTTGCCATCGCATTGGATCATTGCAACCTATTGAAGATGCACAGCAAAAATTCTTGCAAATATACTTCATGGGCAATATGGAAGAACAACTTGACCGGCGTCAAGAAATGAACACAGCTATGAAAAGAGCAATTCTCCATGATTTGCATGCTTAGAAATTTAAACCAACCAAAACTGTGCAATGGAACGCGTTTGGTGATAAGAAAACTGATGAGCAATGTGATTCACGCGTTGATACTCAAAGGAAAATTTAAAGATGAGGAAGTTCTTATTCCTAGGATTCCGATGAGCTCAACAGATATGCCCTTTGAATTTAAACGAATTCAATTCCCGCTTCGTCTTGCCTTCGCCATGACGATCAACAAGTCACAGGGCCAATCTTTGACTATTTGTGGCCTCAATCTAGAAAATGCGTGTTTTTCTCATGGTCAATTGTACGTGGCATGCTCACGTGTTGGCAAACGATCCGCATTATTTGTTCTTGCACCCGACCAAAAAACGAAGAATGTCGTTTACAACAAGGTGCTTGAATGAAAATCCGATTAATAAATTTATCAGTGTATCCCAGCCTGAACAACATAGCTTTCAACAATTTATTACCTAGAAATAATATAGAGGGCAATGCAACGTTTGCCGGGCCAGCTAGTATTGAATATATCACTAAAATGTATAAGGCCTAGGAACCCAACTGTGCACAACTGTCCATTTAATATAATCGAACAAAAAAAAATAATTTATTTAAACATATATAAGAAAGATGACCATGAACACCCAAATATAGCTAGCTAATCTTATGAATATGTTAAGTTCGAAAAATATAGAATTTATTTAATAAATAAAAAAAGGCCCTATTTATAATATTGGATGAGTAAAGCGAAGCCCAATTTTGAGTCACGATTCGCACTCATGTCCAAATATTGTTTGAGTAAATATTTTGCCAAATGCAATGTGAATTTCACGATACAACGGTGCAGCTTTGCTTGGGACACTCGACTCGATGAGTGGCTGGAAAGTTCGATGTGTGTTCGCAGTCAGCACTTGGGCTATCAAAGGCACAAGTTGTGCCTAAATTATGTTCAAATTAAATGGAAACAACTGGGAGCACAATCAGCGGCAGAGTAGCTAGCAGCTAGAGGAGCTCAATCGACAGTTGACATAAACCTTTCGCCAAAGCAAATGCAACAGCAAAACGAAAAATGCCGCCAAAGGCTCTGACAAGTGGAGCCAGCGGAGCAACTGGCGAAAAGGTCAGCGTTTCGTAATCAGCTTTAGTGGCTACTCGATGTGTGCACACGTAACCATAAGCATGGCTCCATGTCATTCTATATTTCACCGAGACACCAAAACTGAGACTCGAACAGGCACTCAAAAGCTGAGGCTGAAGCTGAGGCTGGGCACGGGCGAATGGCACTGTCAACTGGACAGCGCAACGATTGTGGAACAACAGCCAAAAAAAAAATAAAGAGAGGAAAAAAAAAAATGCATTCGCCAACTGACCAAGTGGCCGGCGATTCACAGCAACAGCAACAATAATAGGAACAGCAATAGCAACTAGTAGTAGATATGTATGTTCAAACGACTATCACCCGCTAAAATTCAAATTCAAATTTGCTTAAAACCCAACGCCCCGGCCACCGGCCAACGAGCCAAAAGACCACAAAAATTAGCCATCGACTTGGGCGCTAATCTGGTTTTAAACTGCGCCAGCTAGCGCTGCCACGATGCGGGTGTGTACCACGCAGCTCGAGTTAGAGCCAGAGCCACAGCCAGAGCCAGAGCCAGAGCCAGACCCAACTCTAACCTAGGCAGCCTGCACAGCCTGGTCAGCGCAGACGGACGGAGAGACGGACTGAGAGGCAGCCGGCCGATCGCCGTTTGGCCATCGCTGAGCAACCAGTTTGTGGCACCCGCACCTGGCCAACTGCCCAACTTACGACTCGCAACGAACTGCCCCAGCCCAGACAGCTGCCTATCCTGCTCTGCTCTGCTCTGCCCTGCCCTGGCCTGGTCTGCCCTGCGCACTCCAGTCCTAGTTGTATGTCCAGTGTTTCTGTTTTCTGTAAATATATATACGTATATATTTTTGAAGGTTTTTTTAATAAAATTAATAATTGCTTATATGACATTATTTAAACACTATTATTAATGCTTTTATTAGTATGTGATTCGGCAGTTGTGAAACTGGACTTGACTGTGTTCGCATCTTAAAA